GGCTCGGCAGAGTGAGGAGAGCGGGCTTGAGCCCTTTCAGGCCGAAATGGGGGTCGCGTCCATCGCAGCGTCCGCCCCGCGCGCAGGGAGTCCCAGCCCCGGGAAGCGCGGTTTAAATGCCGGTGGGCGCCCGCGCTCGCTCGAGGCGCCTCCTCTCTCGCAGCGGCGTTTTCCTGCCCTTCGCAGGGTTGTGGGGGTAACGATTTAGGCTCTCTGCACAGCTAACGATGCCTGCCGCTCCTGTCGGTGGGGTCGGGAGCTCGTCGGGCAGGTGGAGGGCATAAAGGAGCCCGTCTGCACGCCAGCGGGACCGTCCCAGCCCGATCTGGAGGCTCCTCTGTCATCTGAGGGCAGTGGGACCTGCTCTCTACGGAAGCATCCTACGGGGCCCAGCACATGTAGGGGGTTCGGCGAGCCTGAGCTCCGGCTTCTCGTACTGTTGTAGTGACTGCAAAACACTTGCAAGCGTGTGTCCTAGAGCAAGAGAAAAGGGAGGTCGTATTCTGTCCTGTAACCTGGGAAATAATTGCTCTGGGTGCACGTTTGGCTTTTGCAGCGTGGATAGCTGCTGAGAGGAAGACCCAGTTGGGGTGGAGGGAGCTGTGAGTAGAGAAGCCCTGGGGAAGGGGCCCTGTAGACAGAAGAGCAGAAGGAAGAGTGGGTAGAAATAAAGGGAATTTGTAGACAGGGAGGCAGGATCTTGAGGGTCCTGTCTGAGGGCTTCTGTTTTCCTATGAAGCAAATGGTAAGGCCACCTGTTCAGAATGAGGAAGGGGTTGCTGGAGTAGAAGTTGAAAAGACCCACTGTGGGAGAGAGGAGAGCTGGCCTGAGAGGCGGGGCTGCTTGCCTGGCTAGTGGAAGCCCGCCCCACCTGTTGCGAACACACCTGTGTGCCGTGTGGGTCTAGGTTGGTGTTGGGACCCGCACCCTCGCTGAGTGGCTGTCAGCTCCCCATTTTCCGAGGAGGACACACATACCTGGCGTGGGCAGCCTGACATCTGCAGAGCTGAGATGTGGACAGACAGGCCTGGCCTCCAAGTCCTTTGCTTTTCTGCAATGACCACCCTCCTAACCTGACGCCAAAACCAGACCGTCCAGGCTCGCGGGTGCTCGAACGTTCTGCTTTTCAGTCCCGGGTGCCGTGGGAGCAGACATCATGGTCTGGACGGCTTTCCCGAGAGTGAGGTGCAAAGAAACCACCCACATGGGCCTGTTTTTCCCCCTGCCTGTCACCGGGGCTCTGCGTCGGGAGCCCGGCTAGGCGATGCCTGCTCTCCACCGTGGGCGTTTGCCGAGTCGTCGAGTGAGTGACGTGGTCTGTGATTCGTACAGTGCTCGCTCATCCTTTATCTCATCTTTGTTCAGAACGAGAGATAACGTGTCCCTTTATTTGTGTGGCAGGTAGCAGAAGTGTGCGGCCGTCTTCAGATGCACTTCTCATCTCCTCAAAACTTTCCTTGTATTTTTCTTAAGTGATCCACTGTCGGTGTGCCAAGTGTTTCTGTTACCCTACGAAACGAAGGATAAGGAGGAGACCCCGAAACCTAACCATCTTGAGTCTTCCTGAAGATGTGCTGTTTCACATCCTGAAATGGCTTTCTGTTGGGGACATCCTCGCTGTCCGAGCTGTAAGTCGCCAGATAACATGAGTGTCAGTCCTGTTGTTGAGGACACTGAGGCTCCATGTTCTTTTGTGTGTGTGTGTGTGGGGGGGGGTCCTAGGCACGCACATGCGCCCAGCATGAGTTTAAGCTACCGGGTCTGGGACTTGAACCTCCGTCTACTACACAGAAGTACAGTGACATAGCCATTATGCCAACTGCTGGTCCCTCCATGTTCTTAAAAGTTGGAACAAAACTTTGGCTGCAGAGAAGGCAGTGGAAACAAGGCAATATTGTTAATAGGTGCTCGAAGATGTTCTGATTTCAGAAACCGCACACTGAGGCTCAAGTCTGTTCACTGCCATGTTTATTTCAACATAGTACCCTTTTATGGAAGTGAAAGTCACATCCCTTAAGAACTAGGAGAATATTTAAAAGAATAAAAATACGTTCTTGAGGACAGGTCTCATATAACTTTCAACACTGAAATGGATTCTAGGAGGTGTTTCATAGATGCTGGAAACACAGCCCTACTCAGAATGACTTAACCTAGGGTGTACAGCAAATAGCAGAAAACTACTAAGAAGTCGTTTCCTGTCTCCCAAGGACACGTCGTTGGAGCCCATTTCCAATGGCCACTGAAACGTCAGCCCTGAAGTGTTCAGGGCCCAGGACAGGGGCTCCAGGGCCTACCTGCCTGGGGCTGCTGTCGTCCTGTTTCTTGAGCCTCCATGGTTCTAGGCTCTGGCCTCATACCCCTAGCAAGGCCTCAGCAGAGAAGCACAGGACGTTTCTGTGCTGCCTGCCATGCATAGGTACACCTGTGCACAGGTAGGGTTCCCTCCTCAACATAGGCACCTATTCCCCACTTCCAGGACCACCCTCCCCCATTGACAACCTCACAGAAACTCACTTCTGGCTCTTCTCTCTTCAAAATAGGTGTTAACTTTATCCACAGAGACTGGCCTCCTTTCCTGCTTGGGGTCAGAAGGGAAGCAGCAGGCCTCAAACGAGCCTCTGAGCGTGGCTTTCAGGGAGCTGTCAGTGACCTGTCCCACCCCCTTCCTGCAGGTACACTCTCACCTGAAGTACCTGGTGGACAGCCACGCCAGCGTGTGGGCATGTGCCAGCTTCCAGGAGCTGTGGCCTTCTCCGAAGAACCTGAAGCTCTTTGAAAGGTACCTCTACAGCCTGGGCATAGCTGGGCTCTCCCCTGCCATGGGCCTCGCGTGTGCCGGCCCACACCCCAGGGCCTGATTGTGGGACTGTTTCTTGTTGCTGTCTCTTGTGGCATGGCCTCATGTCCTGGGCAGTAACCTAGGGCTGTGGACCTCTCCCCTCAGGCCAGAGTGACTTCAGGCAGCCCCTGGCATCTGTCATCCCCAGTCCCCCGAGTTGCACAGGCCGTGGCTGTGTCCGGAGGTCCCCCTGGGCCATGACTCATGCGACTCACTGCATGGACGCTGCGCTCAACTCCCTTCTCTGGCTCGGCGGTGTGACCTCAGTCCTGCATTTCACTCACCAGCCGGTCCCACTGCCCTGGTAGTCAGGACCCAGGTGGGCAGAGGGGACTGAAAGCCGTGAGCCTGCGTACCCGCAGCCAGGCCCCCTGCCCAGGCTTGCCAGTGGCCCAGGCAGGCACCCAGGCCCAGTCTGAGCTCTTCATTGAACACGCTAAGAAACCTTAATCCAGAAGAGCGCTCTGCCAAGGGGTCACACCGGCCTTGTGCTCCTGAGTCTCCAGACGTGACGTAGACAGCGGCAGGCGGGCTGCCTGGCCCAGAGCCGTCTTTGGCCTCTCCACCCCGCCGAGTCCAGGGCAAGGAAGTCCCTGGTCTCTTTGGGTCTTCTGGGGCTTTCCTATGGCATAGCCATGTTGCCTCGACTATGCTCCAGCTACGCCTGGGTAAGAAGTATCTGACTCTCACTGAGACGTGGTCTAGGCGCTGCCACCCGCCGCTGTGAGCCGGGCTGTGGTCCAGGCGCTGCCGCCCGCCGCTGTGAGCCGGGCCGTGGTCCAGGCGCTGCTGCCACACCTGTGTGAGTGGACACGGTCCACATACTGTATTCGTCTCTATAAAGCTCAGAACTCCGCACCTTCTAATGTGTTCAGAGGTGTGCATGTGTTAACTGCTATGTGATTTTAGAACATCCTGGTTACCCTAAAAAGAGACCTTGAACCCTATAGTGGTCACTCCCCATTTCCCCACGATCCCTAGAACCCCGTGCAACCACTGGTCAGTTTTCTGTCTCTCTCGAACGGTTTGTGTGAATGGAATCGTAACGTGTGGCCTTTGGGGACTGGCTCCTTTGGGCTTACCCAGCGTTTGCAGGTTGGTCTGTGTCAGAGCGTGTAACGGATCGTTGATGTTTGACTACATCACGTAACATGTTCTGCTTGGAGAACGGGCGCTCGGTCTCTGTGGCCGTGGTGGCGTAGAGCCTCGTGGCATCGGTGTGACACGTGACTGTCCTAACGTTGCAGGGCTGCTGAGAAGGGCAACTTCGAAGCTGCGGTGAAGCTGGGCATAGCCTACCTCTACAACGAAGGCCGTAAGTCTCACGCGTCAGGCGTTGCCTTGGAGGCTATGAGGCTATAGAACGTCGTGTTTTTATTTAGCAAACTCTCATTTGGGCTGGCAAGGGGGAACTGGAGCAGGAATTCAGGGCTGCGGCCGCCGGGGCGAAGCAGCCTCTGGCTCCCAGCCCGCTGTCCAGCCAGCATCAGGGACGGTGTGTGGACATGACCCCTCTCCTTGGTCCTCTGAGGAACTGGGGCAGAGGTCGGTGCACTCCAAACCCCATAGGTGTCAATGAGAGGTATACCAGGGCCCAGGTGGGAGCAGGTCAGAGCTGGCTCTATAGCAAAAGTCTCTCTTGGGGAAAAAGAAGAAAGGGCTGGCAGGTCGCGTGGTGGCTTAGGGCACTGGACTCCCACATGGCCGACCACGGTTCAAGTCCCAGACCTGGTGGCTTGCTTTCTTATTTTCCCTCTCCTCGCTCTCATCAAATTAAAAAATAAATTAATAACTTAATAAAGTAATTCTTTGTTAAAAAAAAAACAAGGTGTTGTGCTGAGAGCCCTTGCCCTTGACCAGCCGGCAGGGCTGTGACTGCCAAAGGCCCAGGAGAGCCAGCCTCCGCCCCGCCCTCCCCTCTGACCGCAGTTAGGCAGAGTCCTCACCCACCTGAGGCGGACAGTCCAACGGGTTCAGCGTATTCGTGCAACCCTCGCCATTGTCCAACTTTAGAACACTCTTGTCCCCAAAGGAGCCCTCCTTCTCCCGTCTGGACTGGCTTCCCAGCTGGAAGGAGGATGGAGCATGAAGCTTCTGGGGGTGCCTTTCCCTGACCCTCAGAGCCCGGGCATGGGTGGACTTCAGCAGGGCCGCAGGGCCGCAGAGACCTGCCCCTACCTCAGTGCAGCAGGGCAGGAGGGGGAGGGCCGCCCTGGACCTCAGCATTGCAGCTGTAGCCTTCTGAGCACTCGGAGAGCTGCACGTCCCCGTCCCCGAGCCGTCCTCGGTCTGTGTCCATCTTGCAGTGTCTGTGTCTGACGAGGCCCGGGCCGAAGTGAACGGCCTGAAGGCCTCCCGCTTCCTCAGCCTGGCCGAGCGCCTGAACACGGGCACGCCGCCCTTCGTCTGGCTCTTCATCCGCCCACCGTGGTCAGTGTCTGGGAGCTGCTGCAAGGCCGTGGTGCACGAGATCCTGCAGGCCGAGTGCCAGCTGCTGCGGGTAAGTGGGGGGGTGGCACCCTGCAGCCCACCTGCAGGGCCTGCAGTGCAAGAGAGCCTGATGGCTGAGCCCTGCCGAAGGCTGACCACTGCCCCAGGGCAGGCAGAGGGCGTGTGGGCACAGGGGCCGCAGACGTGATGAGCTAGGCGGGGGCCTCCACGATGGCCCCTGCGAAGTGTGGGTAGACACCACCTGAGCAGCTGGAGCCGCGGTCTGAAGCCCGATGTCCTGCGGGGACAGAGGCGGGCTGGTGGTGCCTGCCGGACTCCCCAGCACTGGCTGTGTACCTCCTCCCACTGCTTTTGTAGACTCACAAGGCGTCCATCCTGCACTGCCTGGGAAGAGTGCTGAGTCTTTTCGAGGTGAGTCGAGTTGCCCACCACATTTGATGTGCCTGGCACAGGGGGCAGGACAGGAGTTCAAGGCGGCAGAAGGGGTGGCCCAGGCCCAGAGCTGCGTGAGGCCAGGCAGCACGTGGGCACTGGGAGGGCTGGAGTCAACCACGTGACCTGCCCCCCCAAGTGTCGTGGGAGCGAGGGGGATAGCGAGTGAGCGGTGGGCAGAGCGGACGGTGTGGGCACTGACAGACGGTGCTGCCTGGGCTCTCACTGCTCGTGCAGGCCTAGTCGGCAGTGACCTCCCAGCACTAGGGGAGCAACAGGTGTGGGTCAGGGCTGACCCTGGGGTGCCAGGCGCCTCTGCTTGGCTCGTCTCGCAGCCCCAGCACCACCCACCTCCACTGACGAGGCCACCTCTGGGCCCGCCCTCCTCGCTGCTGGCAGGCGGCATATCTTCCGAGCCCTCGCCTCCGCGCTGGGTTAGTTAGCTTGCTTTATCGAAGGCAAGGGCAGCACTTACGCGCACGTGGGAGTGGGCGGAGGAGGTGGCGGGTGGACAAGGACAGAGCCAGCTGTGTTTGGACCTCTTCCAGGACGAGGAGAAGCAGCAGCAGGCCCGAGAGCTGTTTGAAGAGGCCGCGAATCAGGGATGTTTGTCCAGCTCGTACCTCCTCTGGGAAAGTGACAGGGGGACAGACGTGAGTGGACCTGGTCTGGGAGAGGAACAGTGATGGTGGCCAAAGGCATAGTTTCTTTTAGTTTGACCAGAGAGAGAAAGAAGGAAAGTGAGAAAGCAAGCCACCAGGTCCGAGACTTGAACCCAGACTGGCCATGTGGGAGTGTCCAGCACCTTAACCACCACGCCACCTGCTGATCCCAAAAGGCGTAGTCTCTTAGCGGCCCTGGGCAAGGTTCCGTCCTCAGAGGGAGGGCCCCTTATAGCTCCTGGCCTTGGTCCCTGTGAACTAGTCATCAACAGGTTGCTCCCAGTACCCCTAAAACAGCCACTGCCATTTGGGGGAAGAGAAACTGGGAGGCTGGCACAGCGGAGACCAGGGGAACACGTAGGACCCTGTGGTTGGTTCTGAGCCCCCAAAGACACCACTGTATAAAGGCTCGGTGACTTTCTCATTGGCAGATGTCGGATCCCGGACGATGCCTCCACAGCTTCCGGAAGCTCAAGGACTGTGCTGCCAAGGGCTGCTGGGAAGCACAGGTGAGGTGGGCCCTTCTCCCAGCTGTGGGGCGGGCCTCCCTAGGCCCTGGAGGTCAGGACTGAGGGATGCGGTCGGCCCAGGGCTCTCAGGTGTGCAGGGAGAAGAGCTCAGCTGTCCGTCCGTCCCGGCCTCGGCTTGCAGCTCTAGGCACCTCTGTCAAGTTCAAGCCACTCTGAAGTCGTCCAGCATGAAAAGTTTATCTTTGCAGCAAAGGCTGGGGCGGCCAGAGAGCAGGGGTGTGTAGACGCCCTGCTTCGGTTAGTGGCTGGGTCTCCGTTCAGCCTCCTCAGACTCGTCCAGCATTCTAGTCAGGAAAGTGAGGTTTGTAATGGACTGTCCCTCTCTCCTGAGGCGGTGAAAAAATGCTTCAGGGCAGTGAGCCCGTAGCCCTGGTCATTAAGGTGGCAGGGTCCGACATGGCTGACCCTGGTTTGAATCTTAGCCCCAGCAAGTTGAAAAAGCATGCCAGGCATGTGTGTGCTCAAAATCTTTATTTTTTTATATATGTGTGTGTATATCATTTTTTTTTTTCTTGAGAAGTTTTGCTATAGGGTACATGTGCTCACTGGAGAGGCAGAGAGGAAGCAAGAGATAACCTTGGGGAGGATGGCCATGCCTTAGTCTCTTCTCCATTCTCTTCTTGGGATCCTGGGCATGCACACACACACACGCCTGGTGTGTTTTTTTGTTTGTTTGTTTGTTTTTTATTACCATCATTATCCTTTAACTTGACCAGAGACAGAGAGAGAGAGAAAGCCACCAGGCCCGGGCCTGAACTGTAGCTGGCCACGTGGGAGTCCAGGGCCCCAACCACTATACCACCTGCCCATGTGAGTTTAGGCCACCAGGTCTGAGACTTGAACCACAGTCGACTACGTGGGAGTCCAGTGACATAACCATTACACCATCTGCTGGTCCCTTCGTGTGCCCAAAATCTCAACGGGATGGAGAAATGGCAAGGGATTGAGATGTAAACACACCCCTCGGGGTTCCCCCTCTCTGTTTCTCTGGCAAGCCACACACACCCACAGACGATGAAGACAATAGAACCTTAGCTCCAGGGAGTCCTCCTACACCGAGCTCCGTTCTGTTCCTAAGACTAAGTGGGCCAGGGACCAGGGGGTGAGCGAGGAGCTTGGAGACAGACGGTGTCGCCATGTGTGTTGTGGTGCCATGGGGAAGGTACTGTTTGGCAGCTGTCACCTACATGTGTCAGATAAGCTCCGCATGGCGACAAGACACCAGACATAGCGCCAGGGGCTGACGTGGCCCTTTCATTACCCGACACTGCGGGCACAGTGGGGGCGCGTGCACAGAGGAAGCCCGTGGCCGTCTAGGGTTACAGACGCTTTGTGTACTGAGCGCTAACGGCTGCAGGAACGAGGCAAACCGAGGAAGAGGGTCCCGGCTGGGAGAACTGCGCGAGACCCAGCAGCCGGAAAGTAGGCGGGCGGTTAAGTGAGCCCGAGTGGCTGCATGCCGTCCCCACGGCTAAGCAGGGCGAGGCGTACATGGAGGGTGTGTTCCAGAGCTGCCCTGCTGTGGCATGGAGGGCCCCGAGCCGCCTCTCCTCACTTCCATGTCTGCTTTCCCAGCTGGCCCTGGCCAAAGCCTGTGCAAATGGAAACCAGCTTGGTCTCGAAGGAAAAGCCTCCAGCGAGATCGTCTGCCCGCTGTTCCAGGCTTCCCGGGCCGTCAGTAAGCAGCAGGTGTTCGCTGTGCAGAAGGGGCTCAACGACACAATGAGGTGAGCCGCCCTGGCGGCAGGCCCGCCCCCACATGGAGGCCTTTGTTCAGCCCAGTTCCCTGGTCTCAGGGCAGTGTGGCCTCCCATCGCCAGCCCCATGTGGTCCCCCGTCTTGCGTGTGTGCTTGTGTTTTCTAAAACCGGTAGCGCCTGATTATTCAGGACGTTGGAGACGTCCTACTCCACTCTGGCCGCTGCTTTTTCAAGCCACAGAACATATTAAACCAAAGGAAGCATCTTCCTAAAATGACTGGACTCAAATTCCCAATATATTCTTTTCTTTTTCTTAATATTTTTAATTTTATTTACTCATTTACTTATTTTGATCAGAGAGTCACAGAGAAAGTGAGAAAGCAAGCCACCAGGGCCAGGACTTGAGCCATGGTTGGCCATATGGGAATGTCCAGTGCCTTAACCACCACACCACCTGCTGGTCCCTGCAATATATTCTTTTTAAATCATCACTGTTTAATTGTATTTATTCATTCATTTTTAAAAATTTGACCAGAGAGAGAGAGAGAAAGTGAGAGAGCAAGCCACCAGGTCTGGGACTCGAGCCCTGGTCAGCCATGTGGGAGCATCCAGTGCCTTAACCACCACGCCACCTGCTGGTCCCCTATTCCCAATATCTAAAGCCGAAGCACAGCCTTTCTTCATGACCCACTTTACAAGCATCCCCGTGTTGTGTGACCATCCATAGTCAGCGGGCACGGCCACACTGGGCCAGACCCGGGGAGCTGTGCCCACAGAGCAGGGCCCTGACTTTGCGCACCCTGTGTCTTCCAGCGGGTCCGTTTTCCTCTGAGGTTTGGAGATAACGTTTCTGTTTCTCTTTTGGGAGGTTTTTCATTTTAGTTTTTGTTGTCGGGCGCAAGCACTCACCAGAGAGCGAGCTCACTCCCCAGCGGCAGCCACAGCGCCCTCGTCCCTGCTCAGGGTTTGGGGCACACACACATCACGCGTTGTGGTTTCCACCCTGCTGGGTCTGGACTTGGACCATGGAGTGAGTGGGCCATGTGGGAGCCAGCCCCTAACTTCTTTGCCTCCTGCTGGCACCCATCCCTGGACTCTTTAGTCCCCTGGCAGAGAGACCAGGGCTGCAGCCTTCGGGTATCCCTCGGTTGCTGGGCCAGAGACCAAGAGGCTCCCATGTGCCCGGCCCTTGGCACCATTGCAGAGCGTTGCGATGAGTGAGCCGTCTGTGGGGCTCAGGTTCGCAGAGATCCGCTCCTGGTACCTTTGAGTGACTTGACTTGTGCTGTGGCCACTGCCTGGCCCCCACTTGCACACGCCGAGAGCTGGGTCAGCCAGTGCCAAGGACCCCCGAGCACTGGCTCCCGGCATTGCAGGTGGCCGGAGCGTGGCAGCAGGGGAGGCGGGCACGCTGCAGACACGCGTGAGCCTGCCAGCCTGGGCACAAGTTGGAAAGATGTCGGGCTCACGGGCGCCCCCAGCTTCCAGGCATGTGGAGCTTTCCAGCTTGGGTTCCTGGGTAAACCAGGGACACCACAGGCGACCGCTCAGCCGCTCAAGCCAGACAGGCCTGGGCGGGCGTCGCGCTATGCTCAGGGTGGTGCTTCCTGCAGGTACATCCTGATCGACTGGCTGGGGGGGGGGGCCCCCATGAAGGACTTCTCCAGCCTGTGCCTGCACCTGACGGTGGTGTGTGGGTGTCG